GTGCGGCGTGCCTTGGGACAATAGTGCTCAGCAGCGACGCTCTCGGTGGAGTGGGTGTAGGTCACGCACTCGCCCTTGTGGTAGTCATAGCCCTTCTCACAGTAGGGGCTGGCGGGTTTGGTGTCGATTCTGTGGCACTCCTTGCCGTCGCCGCTCTCATAACCCTCTGCCAGTCATTGCCAACCCACCACACACATCAGCTGCATGGCTGCACTGCTGGTGGCCTGGGGGTCTGCTTACTGGGGCAGTAGTACTCCATCGGGGCAGTGGTCTTGAGCGTGCAGCCGTCCTTACCCGGCTCGTACCCCTTGGGGCACTTGTACTCTGCGGGCTTGCTGTCGTAGGCAGTGCTGCACACACAGAGAGAGAGGCGGAGACACGAATGACGTCGGCCGTGTCGCTGTGGTGTGTGCGTGTGTGTGGCTGACCAGGTGATCTCCTTGCCCTTGCCAGACGGCTCGTATCCCTTCGGGCACTTGGACTATACAGAGACACACACACAGAGAGAGAGAGAGAGATGGCGACCCCCACACACAGCAGATCTGTGCGCATGTAGCCACCCCAGCCTCTCTCCGACCCCGCCAGCCGTGCATGTGCCTCGCTCCTCCCTCCCCCTGGCGCCCTCCCGACTGATCTGCCCGACTGAGAGCTCTCACCATGGCATGGGTCTTGGTCTGACGATAGCAGGTCGCCTCCTTGCCCTTCCCCTGGAGGGTGTAGCCCTTCGGGCAGCTGTAGTCGTATCCCGGCTCGGCAATCGCCACGGCGACGAGAGCGAAGACGACGGCACAGCGCATCATCATTCCTGTGTGGTGGTCGGTGGTCGGTGGTCAGAAAAACCCGAAGGGCGAAGGGCTACAGAGGCTTCAAATACACAACAGACAGACAGACACAAGCAGATATTGGTTGGTGTGTTGTGTTGCGCTGCCTGGCCAGGCCTGCCTCTCCCCCACTGGTTCTGTTCTCCCGGCACCTGTGTGATCTGCCTGGTCTCGTGGTTGCCCCGCAGCAGCGTTATGTGCTGGGGCCACCTGCGGGCATCACACTCACCAAAAGAAAGCACTATGTCTCCCAACCGTGATGAGTTATTCGTGTTTTTCTGGAAAAGCCCCTACAATACCGTAGTACGATCACTGTTATGTCTGCAGAATCAGCATGCCTTTTCTGTGAGCGTGTTCTGCACCGCAAGTCAGTCATTCCTACCCGACGGATTCTTGATTGTGTGTCTCATTGCAGAGAAATGAAGGTTACGTTACAAAGGCTCACTTCTGAACTCGGTTGAAGCATGGAATCAAGCTGATGACCTGACGTTGTAAGGCAGCCAAAGACGCTTCACATGCACCCAGTGACACTGTGCATCTGTGTCTCCTTGCTTGTCTGTGTCAGTCATTGGTTCCAGCGAGCTGCTATGGCCCCACCATCCCTGCATTCAATCGATTGTTCTCGTCAGGGCGCTATCGCCGCACCAGCTAAAAACGAGGCGGATCAACTCGACCGCTCAGTTTGTAGTGTGCGTGTCCACAGTGAGTCTTCACATTTATCGACCACAGGTTTGTATAAAAGCGTCGTAGAGATGGATGGTCGAGTCAGAACGTGACATGCACACACACACACACCCAAGGACAGCTCTACAGTGACTGACATGGGGATGCAGGTTCACACACACACGGGCGCGAAATGAAAAGGCAAAGGGCTGTCTGTCTGTTCTGTACACGACAAGGCACGAGAAAGAGCGCTGTGTCAGCCCAGCCACAGGAGAGAGAGAGAGAGATCTTGAGAGAGAGAGAGAGAGAGAGAGATCTTTACACCACTTTAGAGCGTACCCATTCCCCTAGCCCAACACCAACACACCACCTCGCTCGCTGCAGCAACGTCTGCCCTCAGCCAACAATAACTGCGCGCAACACACACACACAGAGAAACAGCAGCGCGGGAGGGAGGGAGGGAGGGAGGGAGGGAGAGTCAGGGGCATGACACACACAGACAGCTGTCGGCAGTGTCGGTTACTTACTTGGAGCGATAGGCGCGTCCGGGTCGTCCTGCCTGCCCTCCTCCTGGTTCTCGTGGCCCCGGCTCTTCTTGTGCTGCTCAAGGTGGGTCGAGTCACGACACACATACCTGGCGAGAGAGGGAGGCGACAGACACACACAAGTCACGTCACAGCGAGCAATGAGTCAATGGCTGCGCTGCGTAGTGTCACCGATCCGTTTGACGTACCCGCACACCTTGCACACCCACGGAGTCCTCTGAGAGGAAGGAACGACACACACAGAATAGAATGACTCGTGCGGGCCGTGCTTTGGTCGGCCGTATGTGTGAGCGTACTGTGCGTACCTTTCTGAACCTCGGCCACACGATGTTATTGTCCACAAGGTAGAAGTATCTGGGGTTGTCGTTGAGCTGGCAGCTCTGGTAGGCCACCAGCTGACCGCACTCGGGGCAAAAGTGGTGCCACTGACGCTCGACGCCCTTCTCCCTGCAAACCAAAGACAGACGCCATGGTGGCCCACACCAAGACAACAGAGCACAGATCTGCGAATGGCTGTGGGTTGTTTTGGAGTCTGTCGGTGGTTCAAGGGGTACCTTTTGATGACGACCGGCTCGTCTTTTGCGTTGGTGTTGAGCTTGACGACGCTCGCCTCGGTGTCGAAGACTATGGCGTTGTCCGTCCGCCGACGAGGGATGTCTGTCAGCTCCATGTCTGCATACACATCGTGAAGGCGACCACCACATGCGACATTTGTCACCCCGCCATCGCACGCATCCGTCAGGTGCTTGTCGAGTACCTGTGATGAGCACGTGATTGTTGCACTTCTTGCCTGAACGGACGAAGCGGACACACACAGACATCCACACCACACAGATCACTGCGTGTGTTGTGTTCCGGCTGTGTGAAGGCTTGCCATGGCTTACAGTGGAATACGTGGAACTTGTCGTCACGCAGGTTGCGATTCGCATTCGTGAACACCCTGCGTATGCCAGCCAAGCACACAGACAGATGAAGACGCGAATGAAAGGGAAATCTGATTCTGTCCGTTCGCACTTGTTTCTGAAGGAGACCACCTTCGGCATGATGGAGGATGCTATACACTGCTATGACTCTTCTTCTGCCTTCTTTTTGCGCTCGCGATCATTTGCGAGCTTAGAGAAGGCGCGCGTTCACCCCTTTCTTCCTTTTCCCCCTTTCTCGCTGAGGACCATGGCTCCCCGTGTGGTCGCTCCGCCAGTTCCCATGGTTGGTTCTCCCTCGATCCCGGTGATTGATCTCCCTCCTGATCCGGCTGATCCCGTTGCCGCTTCGGCAGATCTGGAGCAGGGCGGCACCTCTCCCATGTCGTCAATCTCATCTCGGCCGTTCGATGCCTCGCCTGGTGCCTCCACTGTGGCGTCTGCCTCCCAGAGGCCAGATCTGCGCCTCGCGGCTGTGGCGGCAAGAAGTGGTGGTGCCGTGAGTCGTGCGGCTCGAACGGCAGACGGGGAACAGTTGAAGATGAAGAGGGTGAGGTGAAGGAGTGTGGCAATGCGTTCATTCCACTCATTTGGTGTTCCTTCCTCTCTTTGTTCCGTTGTCTGGCTTCCTCTCTTTGTTCCGTTGTCTGGTTGTGTGGATGGTTCAGTTTTACTCGATGAACTTCTACATGCTGATCGTCGGGCACCACCTGTGGTTTACGACTCCCCTGCTCTTCGTTTTCCCCCCGGCTCGGGATCGCGCTCTCTTCGACCCCTACTACTGGACTTTTCTCTTCGCCTCCCTTTTCGTGGCGGCCGCACACTTCTTCGCGATGCGAGTGACCAAGGCCGTGCGTGTGGCGCTGTCTGGACGACCTGTGACTTCGCTCCCTCTGAACTGGAGAGGGCGGCTCTTTGCGGCACACGCTTTCTGTGCCATTTTGGCGACAGCGTACATTCACTTTGCGGTCTGGGCCCCTATGCCTCAAGAAGCCGGTTTTAGTGGTATGGGCGTGCACCTCGTGATCCTGGTTGTCCTCGTGGCGCTTGGTTTGGCTTCTGCTGGTGCACAGTACACTCAGCTCGCCGTGCCGATCCTGCAGTGGAATAGCAGGTCTAGTGAGGAGGCACCGCTCGTGTCTGCCTTTAATATGGTGTGGGGCGAGGCGACGGCCGGCAATGGGGTGCTCTTTTTGGTGGAGCTGGTTGGCTTCGCGGTTGGGTACACAGCGGCTCTGTTCTCGTAGCTCTTGGCGTTTGAGTCTGTTTGTGTCCTGTCTGTCTATCTGTGTCTGTGTACAATATTGTGCGTTTGTCTATATTTATCCATAGCTAGTAGCGGCATATATATGCGTGTGTACGCAGCTGCAGACCCGTACATGTACATGTACATGCATTCATTCATTGATGGTGCTTTTGTATACATGGTGGTTCTGTGCTTTTGTGTCGATGGTGTAGGTATATGTATGATTGATGTGCTTGTCTTACGCACCTGTCCGCTCTAGCACCAGACCGTTGCGTCGACTTTCGCTTGCTGCACCACGTGTGGTCGTGGATGGATGGTCGAAACACATCTTTGCAATCGGTGTCTCAGCAGTTTAGTTTGTTACGTCCACGGCCTGCATGCACAGGGTAATTGGGAGCTCACTAGGTGCGTCTCAGCCACGCAGACACACGCACTCAATGCAAGCAACCACAAGCTCCTCGCTCATAGTCTCTCCCGAACGTTTTTGTGCTGTGTGCCTCTCTCACTCTGACACACGCACACACACACTCTCGAACACGCAATCACTGAGTCACTGGTTGACAGTTCTAGTGCACGCACAAACAGACGAACAGACAGACACATGTCTAGCTATAAAATGCCGGCAAATTTATGTGCCGACTGCAGTATCGACATCCCCTACCATCTCTCTAGTATTACGAGTCCGATTGGCTGGTTTCCATCCGCACCCACCCATGCAGCTGTTCATCTCATTGCTAGGCACAGACACAGACACACAAAGACACGGAACAGAGACACAGACACAGAGACACAGAGAACAAACCGACCTACAAAAACATTAGAAACGTTCGCCGGCCGGCCATGGGTGGCGTTCTGCTGACTTGCGAAACACATACAACAAGGTAAACCACCACCAACAGCAGCAGTGTGCACACAGATCGACGTGCAGGTACGGAGGTGGGTATGTATGTGTAGGTGTGCTGCTGATCGTGGAACATTTATGTCATCTTTTGGTGTGTTGTGTGCGCAAGGTCAGCCCAGGCCAGGTCGGCAGAATGAGTGGAGAAAGAATGGAAAAGAGACACGAGACAGACAGCCAGACAGACAGACAGGACGGACGGACGGACGGGTGAGAGCAAAACCGTCTGGATGACCGACTCATCATGGCACCATATCATGTATGCGCACCGCCGCACGCTGGTTTGTGCAGGCTTGGTTTGTGCGCAGCCACGCAGGTACGCAGGCAGCCGCATAGGCAGACAGCCACGGCCACACGTCCAGGGTTGTAATACCCGCCCAACACAGGCAGCAGCAACACACACAATGAAGCGCTAAGGGCTCGCAACTAGCACACACAGAAGGCAACCAGGCAGCGAGACACAGAAGGAGCCGATGCAAGAGGGAAGACGCAAAAAGTGGGAGACAAGACAGGTGGACGGGCGGACGGGCGGACGGGCGGACGGGCGGGGCGACAGGGCGCGCACACATCATATGAGCACACCCATCACATCACATCACATCACATCACAGGGAGGGTGGGAGTGAACAGGTGTATGTGGGAGTGAACAGGTGTGTGTGGGAGTGAACACAACCGTACTATGTACATGTATGTATGTATGTGTGTGTACATGTGTGTATGTACAATATGTCTGTACTGTACGCAGCAGTACGTATACGTTCGTACGTACGTATGCATTGTTATGCATGTATGCATGATATAGTTACACACACACATGCATACACACTTACACACACGCCCACACGTGTGGGTCGGTCTGTTGGCAGGGTGGGAGGGCGGATGCGGTGCTGACTGCAGCTGCCATGATGAATGAGGTCAAAAGGCATCAACAGGCAGGCGCGGCTTTGGCCGCCTGATACTGCCTGCACGGCCGCGGTGGCACGTCCGATCAGTCCAGCCACACGGCTGCCCGCCCTCCGGTCTGTCTGTCTGGCTGCCTGCCTGTCCGTCCGTCGGCCGCCTCTCTTGCTTTGGTCGGCCCCTCCATGTGTGGATCAATGCCTCACTCGCCCGCGAAAACCATACAGTGCTGCAAACTATCTGTATGGAAAACAAACGCAGCTCACTATCCCTCCATCCCTTCCTCCATCCCCGCCCCCACTCAGCCACGCACAAAAATCAAATCGGGAGGGGACCAACACGTAACGAGAAAGGAAGGGACAAATCTGTGTGCTTCCGCCCACCCGCCCGCCCACCTGTCTGTCTGTCTGTCTGTCTGTCTGCATGAATGCCTGCCTCATTCCGTTAATCACGCACTGTTGCTTGAATTCACTAAATCGCCGCACTGTCTCTGTCGACGATCACTCATTCATCAATCCACTCATCAATCCATCAGCAAATCCCATGATCTTCTCCCGCCCGCAGTGACCTGGTGGACGAAACACAAGAAAAACCATGGCATGGACGCAGCAGGTGGGGAATATACTTAGAAACACGGAAAATTAACTCTTGCACGACGCACTTACAAAAAGTTACGGCGGAAAACACTTCTACGTATGTATGTCGGTCGGCTCAGGCGAAACTAATTATAGACCTGCCTTCGATGAGATGAACGCGATGTGTGTGGTGTGATGCGATGTGATGCCCCCCCACCCCCCAGAACCAGTCCCATCAGCCAGGATGCCCCGCCCAAACACGCCCAATCAGCCAGGAACAATCGAAATAAGCGACACAGCAGCCATTGCAACCATACCAGCCAGCCAGCCACCCACCCATTCATCCACCAGTCCACTCACCAGCCACCGCACGCGCCATCGATTGGTCGGTCGCGACATACACATACGCATAAGAAGGTATATGTGTGTGTGTCACCTGATCCAGTGAGCGAGTGAGCGGGTGAATGAATGTCCATAGCTCTCTAGAGAGGTGCATGTGTGTCAAGTCAAAGTGTGTGGCGAGCCAGCCAGTCAGCAAGCAGCCCGACTGCGCAACCAAATGGCAGCTCGGCTCAAAAAATGACAAGACACTTACCTACCCCGCCCACCCATCCATCCATCCACCACGCACCCACACCCACCCGCCCACTCGCGTATCCGCACACAAACACACACACGGCACGTCAGGTCTCCTCCGGCGCCCTCTCCGCTTCTCTCTCCGCCATCTCGTCCATAACTGCCGCCAGGAACCTCTCCACCATCTCGGCGTCGATCTCTATCGACGGGAACCCCTCGGTCACACGCTTCCGGTTGGCGGCCCGTGTTGGTGGCGGTGCGCGGCCGACTCGCCTGTCCCAGGGGAGTGGCGCAGAGGGGATGGGCGCGTGGATGCGCATGGGGATGGACCGCCGCTCCCGCCGGATCCGCTTGACGGCCTCGTCGAAGCGGGCGGTCACCCAGGCGTCCGTGGTCGTGTCATCGCCCCACTCATCTGACAGACACTCACGTTGGCCGACTGACTGGATGGGATGCATCATTTCCTCCTCCATGTTTTCAGAATACCACTTACCGTCCTCCGCGGCAGCAGCATCCACGTGACCCATTCGCCCAGCACCTACAGCCATCACCCCCTCGCTGCTCGATGACGCCTCGCCCTCCCTCGCCCCGTGGCTGATCGTCCGCCGCACCGGGATCGGCAAAGTCAGGTCCTTCACGCCCACCGTGGCCACCGGCTCACACGAGGCCGCGCGGCCCCTCGGTGTGCGATTGGCCTTGGTGTCTCCTCTCGCAGGGCGTCTTTTGAGTGGCGGGGGCAGAGATGTCGGGATGGGCTCGTCGTCAAGTCGGTGGACGGGGTGGTACACGGAGCGGCCGCAGAGGAGTGACGACACACGGAAGAGCCGCAGCCGACGGATGCGGTAGCGAGACCTGAAGGGGTTGTCGTGACACCCCATGACATCCTTCTCCGCAACGTCCTCCTCTGCACCACATACACACAGACAGACGGACACACAGTGGACTCGATGCTTCCACGGGCTCACCGTCCGAGAATGAACTTCGGTCCCGTGTGGCGTCGCTTTTGCCGCTGCTGTCGCGGTCGGCGGGAGATGTACCCGCCTTGAGCCCCTCCCACCCTTCATACGACATGACCACCCGCCGCCGCGCAGCGATGAGCAGCTCCCGCCTCATTCTCGGCGAGAAGTTGCGAGGGTCCAGTGTGTAGTATGCTGCCTTGCCCTTCCCACCAGCCACCGTCGACGACCGGACCTGTAACAGCACCCAACACGGCACCAACGCATACGCGCACTGCTCCCCCTGTCCCTAGTGCAATCGAATCTCCCCACAGCGGCCCACCTTGTGACTCCATATCCGCTGTCCTGCTGACGGCCTAGTGCGCTGTCCGGCTTGTGCCGTGGGCGAGGGGCCACACGCGGAGCCCTTCGACGAGCCCTCGCCCCTGGCCCCCGTGACGGTGGCCGTCACCGTCGTCGGCACATCCGACGTGACGGGCGATATCGACGACGTCATCCCACACTATCCCACACACATCGAAGCAAAGCGACGCACTGAAGAGGGACGGGAGAAGGCAGCCCGACACCAGAGTTTCTGTGTGACAGGACGCTATTTGTCCGTATTTCCCTTGTCACCTGCGTCAGCCAGCCGGTCTGTCGGCACAAAAGCGTCGCCTTGTCTGTGCGTCCGAAATAAAAAGCCCCGCCGCGGCCGTTGGAGAAGCGCGAGGCTCCAAACATGTTCCTGAGACGCCGACGAGGCAGCAAGGAGCGTGGGCGGGACGGTACCAGCAGCGACAAGGACCGCCTCGTCGACAGGTCCGCCAGTCAGTCTGGCGGTCGGCTCCGATGGGCACGCCGCCTCGTGACGCTCACCCGGCACCCCTGCATCTCCTCGCTGCCCCCCACACGACACCGCAGGAGGCCCGCACAAGCACGAGCAGCAGCAGCAGCAGCAGCAGCGCAGCCTCTCACCCCGCCTGCCGTCCAAGTGGTGGTGCGTGAGCAGGTGAACCCTCCAGTGCAGCAGGGCGATGACGACAGCCCCGCGTCGTGCCACTCGTCAGTCGAGTCAAAATCATCCACCATCAACGCTCAGAGGGACCTGCCTCTGGTAAGCTCCATCGAGGAGGGATGGATGCACTATTTGTCACCTGTATGTGTGGTATTGCGTGTGTGTTTGTGTGTGTCAGGACTACACCCCTTCTGTCTCGCCCATTGCCACCGACAACGTCGAACTCGACGGCGAGCCTGAGCCGACACCCAAGAACGCCGACTTCGACTGCGGCCAGACACCCCAGGTGGTGTCGAGCCATGCCGTGGTTGCGGTCAAGGCGAAGAAGCCCCCCGTCTCGCCCGTCAGAAGCGCTGCAGTGCAGCCTGAGAAGAGTGAGACAACCATCTAGGAAGGCGAAGGGGATGCCACACACACATGAACGCGATAATTGCACGTGTGTCTGTGGGTCTGTGCCCCTGTGTGTGTCCAGTCCGCCTCCCTAAGAGCGAGTCTTCGCGCAGCAACAACACCACTCCCACCTCCCACCGCACCGAGGCATTGCCCGTGGCCGTCCCGCCACGGGTCAGTGAGTCGCCGACCAGGGTGCTGCGAACGTACCAGAGAATGACGCCCGAGGACGCCAAGTGGCTGGCCGACTGGTGCAACAACCAGCTACCCATCTTCGTGGCCAACCTCCCAATGCCCATCCCCATGGCACCCGACGCGGGCACACCGGCCCGTGTGACGGCGGGTGTGGAGTACCTGCTGGGCAACGAGCGGACGCCCACGGTGTCGACCACCGTGGCGATGGAGGACGAGACCGGCCGGAGTACCATCCGGTCGCCGCTGCGTGGGCAGGGTGAGGGTGGGAAGCAGTGCGTGTCGTGCATCATGCAGATGCTGACGTGCCAGCGGGACTGCATGTGCGTCGACACCGAGCTGGAGTGGGGCATCCGGCAACTGAGGAACGGGCAGATCCACATAAACCCGGGGCGACCTGTCGCACGCCCCCGCACTTGACGCCTGCATGGATCGATGGGATGACTCCGCTCGCTCTGCCTGGTTGTCTGTTTGGTGGGTGGGTGGGTCTCGTTTTTTCCTTTCGTAACAGTACACACATCACATCACGCCATGCCATGCCATGTGTTGATACGAAGAGGGCAGGATGGGTGTGCTGTGCTGTTTTGTTTTCCATTCCGTCGCCCAGCCCGTTTCAGCCGTCCACCATCCACCATTGGTGACACACACATATACAACACAACCAAACACACTCGATGCTGCGCGTTTCCGTTCCCCTTATTGTCGGTGTTTCTTCGTATTGATGGGTGCTGTGAGTCTGAGTGTATGCGGATGGGTCTGTTGATCGGTCGGTCGGTCGGTCTTGAGCGTGTCTGTGGGTGTGGTGCAGGATAGTATGCTGGGGGAGTCGGTGGGTTTTCTTAGTATTATATTCTGCCGGGTGGGGTCTTTTCGATGCACACAAGCACACACACAGCAAGAGCCAGCGCGCGCTGAGGCCGACGGCCGACCGTGAGACAGCCGGATGGGTAATGACTGAGTGACGATATGTAATTGATATGGGTGCGCAATGGCTGCCTAGATGGGTGGCTGCAATTCGCTTTTTTCGTTTGGCTTGCACGTCTTTGTTGGCTGCTGGTCGTCTGACGGGGTGACGACTAAACGGAGGAATGGGTGAATATGAGTGCGGGTGCATTTGGGTTGGTGTGTGGTGTGTGTCGATCAATCGACCGATGGCTTGGCGTCGCTCTCTCTCGTGTTGCCTACCTGCTTGCTTGCTTGCTTGCTTCCTCCTGCCTCCGTACGTACCTCTTTCATCTTTTGCGCTGTCCCACACATACACATACACATACACATACACATACACGTCCACGACGCACGATCGATGCGTACATGTACATGTACACACACGCACACATAGATATACCACACGCAATGTGTGTACTACATGCACCGGTCACTCGACATTTAGGTAGTGTTCGTTTCGTGTATGGATGTATGTGGGAAGCCTTACGACCAGCGACCGATGTCCGCCACCTGCTACCTGTCTGCGTGTCCTCTCCTGGCCTGTGCCGGCCCTCCTTGCTGCTGCGTATGAGTATTTGTGTCTCCCTTTTTTCGGTCTGCCTGCCTGCCTGCCTGCCTGCCTGCTCGCCTGTCTGTGTACCGGTCTCTCTCTCTCTCTCTCTCTCTCTCTCCATCTGTCTGCCTGAGTGAGTGTGGGACGGATGGGATGGGCGTTTACATGGGGACATACACGCCCGCTGACCAGTGCCGAGAATGCCTTCGTCGTTTAGTGCGCATAAATCAATGCATGGCATGTATACCTTCTCTCTGCTGGCTGTAGTTTGATAAGCTAAGTGAGGGTGAGAGGATTGTGGTTGTGCAGCGGGTGTGTGTGTCGAATATACATATGAGCGGCCTTTCTCCCTCTTGTCTCGTGTATGTCTCACCATGGTGCCTTCCAGGCTCTGTGAATTCACTCTGATAATCGTACAGACATACTTATACACATACACTTATGCATATACATATATACACATACCTTGCGTATGGAGTAACATAGCCACCACTGATCGATATACACAGTGTGCGCCCAAGTACGTACGTACAAGTACAGCTACCCACTAACTTCCACCTGCTGACTTGATGCACGCGCCCAACCAACCAGGTCGGCCATTTGTATTCTCTCTCAGTCTTGCGGCTGGCTCTGTGCAGCGCTTGTGTTGACGTTGGTGATGGTCGCGGCGGTGGTGGTAGCCAGCTTCCTCGATCTTCTTACTTACTCGACAGCACCAACGAGGCTCTCGCAAGCAAGTGCATACATACAGACAGACAGACAACCATGTGCATGTGCCTTCGTACGTACCAAACCACTTCCTGCATGTTTTTTGACGCTCCACCGGTCCACCAACCAGCGCTGGTGCATGTGCGTGCCTCCGTGTGATACGTGGAAGTGGCGGATTGTGTCAGTCGGTCGGTCGGTCGGTGTTTTTGCATGTTCGTTTGTACATCGGTTAGAAGATGCACAAATCCACTTCGGCCGGCGCATGAACGAACGAAGGTAAGACGGCGATAAAAATGAGGGAGAAGAGAGAGAAGAGGGGAGAGGCCTCATCGAATTAACGTTTTCTAAAGGGACATCGTTTTCTAAAGGGGGATCGACAGTACGTGTGGTAGCGGTGATTGTGTGTACGGTGTGTAGGAAGGAGGAGAATAAGCTGCCTGCCTGTCTGCCTGCCTGCCTGTCTCCCTGCCTCCCTGCGTGAGCGTCGATGCGACGATGCGACCTCGGCTAACCTATAAGTCTTTCTAGTGGCCTACAAGTCCAGTGCTCACCGCACGTCACCTCCCTCGATCTCTGCCCGTCTCCTGTCTGTCTGCCTGGCTGTCTGCCTGGCTGTCTTGCTTCTCTCCTTGTCATGCTGTGTGGCCTGCATCTAGTGCCGTCTCTGTGTGTGTCTTCCCTCTGTGTGTGTGTGTGTGTGTGTGCGGTTTGTCCGAGTGAGTACGTACATGTCTGGATGATTCGGTGGAGCGCCTTTCCGTCTTGACGCATACCGAAATGAGACGGATATCGATTCATTGTACGACGCAGATCTGGTGTGTGTGCGGGTGGGTGGGTGAGTGGATGTCTCGATCAGTCACCACTCGGTCGTGTCGATAGACCAAATTACTCAAATGAAAGCTCATGTGTGTTGCCATGTCCATCAGCTCGTACCCATCCATCCATCACGACTGTTGACCGCTTTCCAGTGACTTCCGAACTACATACCCATCATTGCAGCCAGGGTGTTCGGCAGATAGTAGCTGCAATAAATCGAGAGGGGCACCACAAGGTGCGCACACTAACGAAGCGACACACACCCCCACCCCACATACACAGACACACAAAGAGAGAGAGAGAGAGAGCGCACTTCACCATATGACTGTCGGTATGCGTCAGGTGGACGGCGAGGCTCTGATATGTGAGTACATACACACATTCATGAGCTTCTGCTGATGTGTCTGTCGTCTTTGCCCGTCTGTGTGTGTTGTGTCTGCGTCTGTCTGACTGTTGCGGTGCTGATTGATTGATGTCTCATCGAATGCGCAACACGTCAGTGCCTCCGTACATATGTATGCCTCTTTCATGTACATGTGTGAGTGGCCGGCCGCGATCGATCCATGGTTTGACTGGCAGCGACGTGTGCGCTGCGTAACAGACAGGGTGGCTTATTGAACGTTTCACGTCTGTTGGTGCAAATGAAACGGCTCTGTGTGGATGAGAGAGTGCAGACCAGACGCTCACCTGTTGAATTGAATCAGTCAGCAATGGATGACTTACCATCATATGTACACACACAGCACAGCACCCATCCCATCCCATCCACGCACTTTCACACGGGCCCTGCACACATTGATGTCTCTGTACAAGCCGCATACACAAAAACACATACATGCACACAGAAAGAAGAAGCCCCAGTCTCGTTTCTCTCTCGGTGGAGCAGCAGACACGTCGTGAAGACCAACACGGGACAGCACAGGGCGAGCCAGACACAAGGCAGAACAGTATACAAACCTGCTTGATAAACACTCGGCAGACGTGTCACTTGAGGCACACCATAGATCTATCGATGCATCCATGTGACCAGAGCAGCATGTCCCCCACGGCTGACCTGTCCCCCACTCGCCCACGGAGCTATGCATGTAATCACTTGGCCCTCAGCTCCATGCTGAGATCGTACTCTACTTGTTGGAAGTCGGGCTCACACGATCCCCCCGTCATGGTGTAGAGTTCTTTGACTTCCTCGTAGCACTCCCACACGAAAGACCGGCAACTTGCAGCCCACATCATGCGAACGTAATCGTTTAGCAGATTCCAAGAGTCGTCATGCAGGCGTGCGCTGACACTGACACTCACTGGCCTGGCTGCCGACACAAGGCTCAAAAACGCCTGCACACCCTCCTTCGTGTTCAAGTTCTCCTCAGCCATGTGCTGGATCCGCGGACAGAGGGCCGCCATATGACACATGTCCGGATCTGCCTGCAAAGGCCAGTCTCTCGAACGAAGCTCGAAATCCCTCGTGCCTTGCACCCTATCCAGCTGCCTCACAGACAGGTACGACAGGAGCTCAAGGCGAGCAGCTACGCTAGGCAGAGGAGAGAAACTGACTGTCTTGAGAGTCGAGAGCCCAGCCAGCAGCATGCTGAGCTTGTTGGGGGCTACGGGCAGGTTCAGCCGGCGAGAGCGTGTCGAATGACACCTCCAAGCTGTCGACAGCCGGGAAGCATCTGCTGGCTGCGGTCTCTCCCTCGCCGTCCCTCTCCGTCAGCCACTCGGGGATGCTGTCCACAAAAGGTCCTGACGCACCTTGCTGTGTGGGACAAAGGATGAGCTTCTTGGCGCAGGGGAAGATGAGCTTGTCCCACCACGACTGGAGGAGCGGCGCGGTGCCACCGAGTACCAACGTGACCTGGCACACAGGTAGGGATTCACATGGTTCCATGTTTGGTGCTGCTCTCCCCTTTTGTCCGCCCTGTCCTTACATCTGTCGCCTTTGCCGCCAGCTGCCTTGCGATCTCGCCGTAGAGGTGGCCGTCGGGCGCAGGGTGGGCAGTGGCATTGCTACTGCTGCAGTTCACCGTCAGCGACCCGCCATGTGCCCGCCACTCGAGCTCACAGTTGACGTCTGCCGCCCACTCGCTGAAGCTGGCTATGGCGGCCGCGTCCTGCACGCCACCCGCGCCGATTCGCGGGTCGAGCAAGACGAGTCCCAGCTTCTTGGGCGCATCTGACAAAGCGACGCAGATCGAGAAATGGAAGCCATCCGCCCCGATGATTGAATGAGGTGCTCGTGTCGGTCACCTTTGCGCGCTGGTTTGCTCCACTGTTGGTTGAGCGCTTTCTTGAGGTCACTGAGGCTGCCGCGCTGCGGACGAGGTGTGTCCTCACCAAAGACCAGGTCAAAAAGAATTTCACCTGGGGATTCATTGTCTTCATTTTCGTGGTTGAGGGAGATTGTCAGGCCGGTGATAGTGGTGATGCAGGGGCAGCCGTCGAGGACACCGACGAGATCGGCGCCGAGGAAGTAGCCCTCCAACTGCAGTCGCTCAATCTTCGGCGATGCTTTGAGGAGGGGCACGATGCCGCCCGCATCTTCAAGGCGGGTGCTCACTTGAAGGCTCGTAAGGGAAGGAAACGCCCGTCGCTAAGGGAAGGAAACGCCCAGCGACGGTCGCTGCAGACAGGCACAGCAACAAAAGAGACTGATAGCCTGTTGCAGACATGATGTATCCCTTTCTCCCTGGGTGCACATCCACATACCTGATGTATTCGAGCCAGTTGTTTCCATCGATGTTGAGCTCTCGGAGGTTGCAAAACTCGATGGAAACCGCCGGCGCGCGCACGTCGTAATTGTAGGCGTCACACATCGACGACACGTGCAGCCGCGTCAGTGTCGCTCTGGACGCCTCAAGGCACTCGCTCACTGACGGCAGAACTCCATCCGTCTCGACGCAGGCCGTGCGGATCTTGCTCTGCGAACACACATTAGCGTCCATACCGCCGCACGTCAGATACACCCCACGCCAGCTCTCTCACCAGGTGCTTGACCTCTTCCAGCTTCTGTATCTTTTTGTAGTCGCTGCTTTCGTCCGCCGTGACCGTGAAGTTGCGGTAGACGCCGAGAGTGTCGTCGGTGGCCTTCTGGTGGGTTTCCTTGTTGACGCACGAGAGACGAGCAGCGTTCCTGGTGGTGAGGAACGGGCCCATGTCGCCCATAACGCCCTCGGGCAGACCAGGAAGACACAGACGGCCGTAATACTGACACACACAAAATGGACCGTAACGATACGGCAAGCACGCAATGCAGGTGGTTGTGTGTATGTATGTGTGTCTGTGTCTGTGGCTGTGTGTGAGTGTGCGTGTCTGACCTTTGGCGCTACGTTTGGCGCTGCAGTACTAACCCCACCAGCAGCGTCCGGGCTGGTGGCCACTCGTGAGCGCTTTCCATCACCAGTTGACACCTGAACATTGATGCGTGTGTTGACATCTGAACACTGTGTGCGAGTAGGTTCGTGCATACCGCCTTGCTGTCGTGTGTTGCCTTGTCGGTCCCATCCGAGCTCCCAGACACCCCTGAGGGGTCCTTCACATTGTACAGCCACCGAAACTTCTTGCCGTCGCCCTCCTTGCGCTGACATCCATACACGCACATATCAACTTGGCATGAGGCATTCACTTGTCAAGTCCATCCAGCCTTACAGTTGGCAGCTGCGCTAGCTCGTTGCCGAGGGTGGACTGGGCGTCGTTGAGAGTCTGGAGCAGATCACCCAACCGGCCAGTCGACGATGCACAGCCCTGCGAGCACAAAATGCACGTGTATGTGGCATCTCCGTGGTTTATCTGTAAACCTCTGTATTTCTTAGTGAGTTTGGCATCTTGCGCTTCGCCGCCTCAGTACTCGCCGCCATCTGAGAGGTGACCTGCACAGCAGAGCCAACAAGCGGTGCAGCAGCACTTGTTCCTCCTTAAGAACTCTCCTCTCACCGAGTGGATCTGATCTATGGCGCCACACAAGCTGCTGCCATCCGACGCCCCGCTCTGCCCGCCTGCAGACACGAACAGCAAAGGCAAAAAGGTACACGTGGATTGGTCGAGTGCTGCTGGCGTCGTCACCTGTCGGGAGCGCCTGGCTGTACATGTCGTTGCTGCTGTCGCTGCTGTTCATCAAGGAGATCTCTACAGGGGGCCTCAGCTTCTCTCACGGTGTTTACAATTGACGTGCTGCCGTTTCACACCTCGTTGACGCCCTGACGTCAAATGAGTTACACAGAAGAATCTGCCCGCCAAGCTCGCAGAGGCGGGGGAGAGGCAAGCTGGCAAAAGGCCTAAGGCACCCTCTGAGGGTGATGCTGCAAAGCCGAGATCGTCATGTCAAGGAGGGCACCAGACGAGTCCCCAGCACAAGAAGCAGAACATCACGCCATTTCTGTCCTGCTTCATGCATTCATCTTATCTATCTATGATGTGTCACGGGTGCATGCATCTGTATGTCTGTTGCTGTGTCCATTCGTCTGCCCATCCATCACCACTGCCGGCCGGCCTTCATCCTCGCGAGCGTCGCAACCTAACACGCAAACAGATATGGCCAAACATCATGTGTGTCTGTCAGTGACTGTGTGTCTCATTTCTGACTCTGCTGATTGGGTTGGGGCGTGCGATAAGCGTGTCGGCGGGCGAGGCCACGACACACGGGAAGTACGCATTCTGCCGACCACATGAGACACACCACATGTGTCCACTTGTGGTTGAGTGCACAAGTGGCTTACGCATTCTCCGCTCCATTTTGTGTAGAGGGCCGCGTTGAAACCGGTGAAGTCCACAACAAACCTGACAGACACATAGGGAGACATCCATCCATTTATCCATGGGTGCATAAACGACAGAGAGACAGCCGCCTTACCTGCAGCTGCCCGTGTAGTTTGCGGGCGGCTCACATGCGGTGTGCGAACCCTCGACGGCCACCCAACCACTCGGACACTGACGGACAGACAGACATGTAATGGGGACAGAGACACGTAATGACGTGCACGGAGTGACTGCTTGGCGAGTGCATTACTTGCACTGTGAAGTCCCTTGTGCAGTGTCTGCACGGCCAAACCGCCACGCAGTCTGTCAACCATTTGATCTTGGCGGCTCGGCTCATGTGTGCGGAGAAGTTGGCGGCGGTGTCGCTGCACGGCCCGCCGTACTCAGTGGAGGCCTGGCAGAGGTGATAGTCGGCCGACGCTGGTGGGCTGATGTCGTCGAATAAGAGGGGGCACGGGGAGCTGTCGTAGTCACGCTCACACGCATCCACACGCAGCAACAACGACTGATGGATGGATGGATGGATCGATGCAGAGACAGAGAGAGTCAGAGACACGGGCAGACGTGATGCGTGTCTCCTTCTGGCTGGCTGACTGACGTACTGGGTCGAATGGGGTGGCGACGCCGCTTGTGATGCTGTCTGCGATGGCCACATTGGCGGGCGGCGCCTCTTCACTGATGGCCTTCATCAACATGTCTGTCCATACACATGACATACGCCACACGTGTGTGTCTCCGTCTGTCTGTCTCTTGACCAACCAGGTGCTGATGGCACTGCGCGCGGCATCGGTCCGGGCAGGCTGAGTGCCTCTGTCTGCATTTCTGCCTGGGCATTGGCATTCATGGCGTTCTCTGCGGGATCAATGGCAGGCAGTGGCACCATGCCGTCGACACACACATAGGCAAGGTGCAGAGAGACCAACAGCACACTCAGCGCAACACGTGGAGGCCACATGATCGATCGATCAGTCATTGATGAATCACTCAGTTGCTGCCTGCTTGCTTGTCGGATCGGTGTATGTATACACATGCATGTGTGTACAGGTCAGTCATGATCAGTCGATGCATCGATCTGTGCACATAAATGTCTATTCTCTATAAATGTGCTTGAACCAAGGCGTGGACGATGAATGAAGCAACAGGCAGACAGGAGATCGACAGCAGCGCGTGTGTGTCTATCGACACACACAGCGTCCCATTGATTCACTCCATCGCATTCACTCTATTCTGCACAAATCACATCACAGACACACGAAACATCGGCTGTCCCCTTATCACGGCTGTCTGTCTGTCTGTCTGTCTGTCTGGGTCCACCTTCCTCTTCTCTGACGCTGCGCGTGGTGTGCGTTTGACAGGCGGCTCCAGGCTCTCGAATGGATGTTGTGGCGTGGAGATATGATCTGGACCTCTTGCGTGCCCTCCTCCATCGATGGCGACGGCGTGTATCGAGTGCTGGAAGTGGTAAAGTAGTCGTCCTTTCGCCGCCCACCGCTCTTAATATCCCGCGGCATTCTCGTCCGCTCACCCTTCTCCCTGCACACACATAGGCAGGGAATCAGCTGACCAGTTTGGCATGCATCAGTGCCCACCTGGATGAGTCTCTTCTGTCCTGGTATGTCTTGGCAGAGTCCCTCCGACTCTTCTTTCTTGCGGGAGAGATCTGCCTGTCGCCGAAGACAATGTCTGGCAGCGTGTTCTCGCCGTCAGAGAGGGACTTCCATGCGATGTCATCGTCTCCCTCTTTGCTGCCTTTGCTTCCGCGTTTCCTCGCGGCCGACGGTCCGCCTCTCCTCCGTGCAGGTGCCGTAGGGACGATGTCGGGCAGCAATGAGTCAGCGGAAGCACTGCCAACTGCAACACCCCCCCAAAGGCAGGGCAGACAACAAGCACACATTTATGTGTCCTCTGTTGATACGAGTCGCGCACTCATGCCTGGTGCTCGCAGCCGATGAGCGGCTCGTGGCGAGTTCTTTCCGCCTCCGTAGACCCTCTCCAGCATTTCGTCCTTCTCCGATATGAATGGCACGCGAATGCCCGCCTTGGACGCCCTCTTCCCTTGAGGCAGCATCTCCGGTTGCGAATCCCTGGGTGTCTGGCCTTGTGATAGGGCATTGTACATGGCACGAGACACCCTGTAAGGGTCTGGTTCTGTCCACACAAAGACCAAATCGGCATGTGTGGGGTGGTGGTGTCTCCCTTTCTCATGTGTGGTTTGTTACGTTTGCATGTGTGGAGCCTATTCTGTTGCCGAATCTTTTCCGCCTCCTCGTCGTATTTCCTGATTTCCTCTTCCTGCGACACACATGGAGACACGTTGCAGATTCATCCGAGTATGGCAGGTCTCACCTTCCGTCTTCTCTTCCTTTCGAGCAGCTGCTCGCGCATCGACTTGCTGTTCGGAGGCAGCGATTCTTGCCTTCTTGCCGACAGCCGCCGGCTGCGCGGTGCCTGCTGCGTGTACTCCTCGCCATCGGACATCATGTAGGTCACCGGACTTGCATCGTTCTCATCCGCGAAGGAGCCGTCGAGGCGTCGGAGGTAGAGGGAGCCGCGCACGCCGTATCGCTTTTTCATTGCCGAGGCTTCCCTCTCCATCTTCAGCAACTCGTTTTGCATCTTCCTTAGTGCTCTGCCACCGAGCTGCACAAAAGCGGAAACAATGGGACAAAGACGGTGCCTGTGAGGGCCGAGTCAGCTGACCTGTTCTTGCCTGTCGGCATCCATCTGGGTCAGCATTGCGCGCAGCTCCTTGGTGCAGCTCTTCAACCCGAGACTATGCAGCTGGTCGATGACTACTTCGCAAAGGGAAACGTCTACGTCACGGCTGCTACAAAGAGTCGACTGATGAAGAAAGACAATGCACTTGTGAAGGGATGAGGAAATGAAATGCTGACATGCCTTCTCCCTCCCGCACTTTGAGCACACCGCCGATGCGTCGTTTGATGAATGGCAGGTGCAGAATGTCGCGAAGAGAAGGCCTGTCGCCAGCCTCGACGGACAGCATACGTGCTACAAGAGACCTGCCAGTTTTTCACACACACACCACGAGCAAAAGGCACATCACAACAAGTTCTGTCTCTGCGTGCTGGTGAGTCCCTCACTTCATTTCATAGCTGCATGTGCTTGGCAGGGGCTGGAAGCTGCCCTTGATCCGGATAGCCAAGAGTGGGAAGTTGTCTGCCTGAAATGCGTGCTTGCAGCTCAGCATCTCGTGCAAAATACACCTGCGCGCAGAATCCACACAATAAAGAATCTCCCCCGATTGGCCTCCAAAGCATTGTCAGAGCTTACCCAAGCGCCCAAACATCACTCTGGTACGTGTACGGGAGGCTTGATATCAACTCGGGGCTCATGTCTACATGACAGATGACAGATGTGACGTGACATATGGCTCTGCTTGGAAGCCCAGTGGTGCAGCCTACAATAGGGTGTCCCGATCTGCACAATGACACGAGACGGACATCCATGTCTCCCTCTGTACACTTCCCTCCCCTCCAAATTCAGAGACCTGAGTGTTTGCCATGGCCTCCGTGTTCTCGAGCACCTTGACGATTCCTGCACGTGCAAAGTGAGGGAGTGAGGGAGTGAGGGAGTGAGGGAGGCGTCGGTTACCAAAGTCGCCAAGCTTCAGCGTCCATGAGTCCTTGTTTCGGACAGACGCCAGAAAAATATTCTGCAGGGAAGACACAGGAAGTCCCCGCTATCGTTGCGTGCAGCGCTGGTTTACCTGTGTCTTGAGGTCTCTGTGGAGTATCCGTCTCTCGTGAAGGAAATGAAGGGCCAACACCACCTGGATGAACCACTCGATGACTGCAGATTCCCTGGGATACTCAGCCCCCTTGCCCGCCCCCCAACTCTTCCCATTGCAGCCATGCTTCCTCAGGGCACTCGACAGATCACCTGCAGAAACGGAAGTAAGAAATGCATCCAGGGCGTTGCTGATCATGACTCGGCCAGCAGCTCACCGCCACTACAGTGTTCCATCACGATGCACAGCTTCTTCTTTGCAGATGGAGCAACATTTGAGAAGTCAGATCCTGTGTTGGACTCGGTGTCGCAGTCAGGCTCTCCTTTGCCGTTGGAGGAAGATATGAAGGACTCTCTGAACTGAACAATGAACGGATGTTTCAGCGTTTCCAGCACACGGGCCTCCTGCTGAACGTCCTCGAGGGAGGTGCAGTGGTCAACAAGGGCGATGGTCTTCAGGACGTAGAGCTTCTCCGTGGCATGATGCTTTACTAGGAACACCTTGCCGTGGCTGCCCGAGCCGATACTGCGGACGAAAATGTACGAATTCATCGGGGAGGAAGCAATTGGGAGAGAGGGAAACCAGCACTCGTGGGGGGCAGGACGGGGGGCATATGCCTTCGGTCACGACCAATGAATGCGACGCCGTACAGCATCATCCGCCCCATCGGCGGCGGCTCCTTTGGCCAAGTCTTCCTGTGCCAGTGAGTGCGTGTGTGTGCATGGTCGTGCACATCCATTTGTGTGCTGTACTCGCAGGCACAAGAAGGAGAAGCAGCTGTACGTGCTCAAGAAGATTCGGCTCCAGATGATGGACGAGAAGGAGCAGGAAAGCACAGAGATGGAGGTGCGCTTGCTGTCCAACCTCAGACATCCCAACATTGTCGGCTACAAAGAATCGTTCATAATGCTCGATACCGGTGACGACCTTGGCGGCGAGGGAGGCATGAAGAGCGATTTGCCGCCGAGGGAAGACCTGGTCCTCTGCATCGTCATGGAGTACTGCGAGCATGGGGATCTCTACACTTTGCTCAAGAGGAGAGAAGCCAAGAACAAGGGTAAGGCTGCACGTGGCTGACATATCGATGCCTTTGTTGCCGATGTATTTTGTCGTGTCTCCCCCTCTCGTACAGGTACCTACTCTGAGACTAAGGTGGTCGAGTGGTTCATCCAGGTGGTTTTGGCCCTTCATTTTCTTCACGAGAGACGGATACTCCACAGAGACCTCAAGACACAGGTGCATTCACCCATGAACAAACCAACCACAAACGCTGCCCGCTACGTATTTCCCTGCAGAACATTTTTCTTGCGGGGCGGGGCAGCAAGAGGCCGGACGATGATTCCGCGGGGAACTTTGCTTTGAAAATTGGCGACTTCGGGATTGCCAAAGTCCTTGACTCGACGCGAGACCTGGCCATGACCCAAATCGGCACGCCTTATTGTGAGCTACTGTAACGACGCATGCACACCGGTTTTGCCGCATAGACTGCGATTGGCTGCTGTGGATATTAGACATGAGTCCCGAGCTATTCAAGAATCGTCCGTATGATTTCAAGAGCGATGTGTGGGCGCTGGGATGCATCCTTTTTGAGATGCTGACCTTCAAGCACGCCTTTGACGCTCAATCGATCAACGGTCTCGCCTTCAAGATTCTCAAGGGGAAATTCGAGCCGCTTCCGGCATCCACGAGCGAAGAAATGAAGTCAGTGATGCGCCACGGTGATGTAGTCATCTTATATTCATCTCCTTCTAAATGTTCTGTCTTTGGTCTTCAGACAGTTGGTTTCGGCGCTTCTCTGCACAAATGCGAATCATCGTCCAACTCTGCGTGAGATCTTCCACATCCCCTTCATAAGAAAACGAATCCCGTCGGTTGTCAGGGTGAGACACGTTGATGCGATCTCCCGCCTCCAGCCTTTCATTGATGCATCTGTTTTCCTGCCCTTTTACTGTCTGTGGCAGACAGTCGTGAGCGCGTGTCTGCCAGAAATCGCCGCTCTCGCGCAAATGGCCCTGTTCGAGCAGCTCGATCGCCTGGGCCTGGCCAGCCTCCTCGTTGAGGCTCCACATCGCTCGCTGCAGACACACATGCCGCCCATCAGTGAAGAGATGGCCAGGAAGAGACGCCTACAGATTCAGAAGGTACGTAGCTCGTGTAGCACATTTGGCAGCATAGTAGATGCAGCATATCTCTGCGTCTCTCATCAGATAGAGCAGAAGAGAGGGCATACCCAGGAGTACCTCAGGCAACTTGAAGACACAGCTATCAAGCTCAAGCGACGCTACGGCATCAAAGCGTCCCTGTCCGGCGAGAAGCGCATCCAGGCAGCGCCCTCACATCCGCCGCTCCCCCCTGAACACAAATCTCTGAGGGTCGATCGCAAGAAGATTGCTGAACCGGCTGAACGAGGACGGTCGGATCAAAGCAAATCGCCTGGCAAACCGAAGGCCGGCAGCAAGAGCGTGACAGTGAGTCCGCGGATCGGTCGGCTGAGAGGCAGGGACGGCGATGTGAGGGAGGCTGAGAAGAAGACCAAATCAGGCGAGAGGATCCCTGACAGTGTTGGTATAGAAGAAGACGACGAGATACAGGTGAGGGAGTCAGATAGGTCAGGTGGCGAAAATACAACAAAACGCGATGATATTACTGTTTTCAGAAGGCCAATGAGAATCTTCGCGCTGTCCACCAGGAGATCGAAGAGACAGAAAGGTGTCCCTGTGCTCTGCACAACACACGAGACAGAGAGGCATTCGTGCACGGAGGCGGCTGCTCCACCAATCCCTGTTCATTCCTTGCAGGAGGGTGGCGGAACTGAGCGAGGCTTTCGTGGAGTTGCAGAGGATGAGGAGCCAAGACCTGCTCCCGCCAGACAAGTGACCTCTTCTTATGTATGCATTGCCCGTGCCTCCTTCGTATCGTATTGCAGGCTTCCCCAGCGCCGCACTCCGCCAGACGTCCGTTCCAGCCCCTCCTCGCCCCCCCTCTCGGCGCGTGACAGCACAGCTGACGAAAGCACTCCGCCTCTGTCTGCAAGGGAGGCCAGTGAGCCACCATCGGCTATGTCTCACAAGGAAAGGGTGATGGCCGAGCGGCGGAGGCGGCAGGAGGAGGCCACTCGGGAGTTTGAGAGGGAAGCCCAACGAATACGGGAGGAGAACTTACTTCGCATACAAGCGCGTAAGAACCATAAATTCTCGCTTTCGGACCGAGTGAATTCGGCTGGTGTCAAGGGTGTTTCAGAGAAGTCTCGGCACACATGGTATCGGTCATCTGACGCCATGAGGTCGGCGATGGGCGTGTCTACACCCCATCATGGCAGCAGCCAGCTTGACACAATTCCAGAAAACGGCGCAACAATTGACCAGCTAGAGCAGCGGAAAGAGTCTCCGCGAACAAGGGAAGCCCAGCAGGACCCTCTGCCGTCTCCGAAACCTGCCCCCAGATCCAGCTCACGGGCAGCCGATGATACGGCAGACAAGCCATCCCAGGCCGTGGACTCGCCAAAATCACCGAGACGAAAATATGTAGGCGATAAGACACTTCTAACACGAATTGAATTGATGCATTTGGCGTTGTTGCAGCACTTCATTGGCCGGAAGACCAATAGCGGCCGTGCTTCTCTCCGCGTGTCTGCTGCACATTCTCTGAGCTCAACGCAAGGCGTCTTCCCGACTCATCAGCCGCTGGAGCGGGATGCATCTTTTGAACACCCCTCTCGTGGCCCGTCACCGCCTCCTGACCTGGCCCTGCCGCCAGTAGGTGGCCGTCGGAGGATCGGGGGCTATGTGTGGGACCGGGACGAGGAGCAGGAGATCGAAAGGCTGATCCAGGAAGACGAGACAGAGAGGGAAGTCAGCGGCGCTGAGGAAGAAGGCGTGTCCGATCTGAGCGACTCCGAAGGTATGTATCCATACAAGATGCGCGGCCGGCCGGTCACGCACGCATCCGTTGCTGGGACAGCTTACTCCATTGGCTTCTTACAGATGGAGAAGTCGATGTTCGTGCTCTGAAGGCTGATGGAGCCAAGCGTCACCTGGCGCACCTAAAGCGGGAGATCGATCGATGCAAGATGCAGATATACAAGCAGGAGGTGGCTCTGGAAACTCTGCGCTTTCCCCTTGCCGGCAATGCCCCTATACAGCCCGCGGCCTTACCCCGAATAATGGACGACCGATCCCGCCCACCCCTGCCCCCTGCTAGCGAGCGGAAGCAGCCGGCGAGACGCGTCGATGATTCGCACGAGAGACAAAGCGACAGGGAGACGTCTGTTGAGCGCGCCAAGGGTAGAAAGGAGAAGCACTCCCCGCCTCCCATTCGCTCGCGTCCGCCCAGGCCTGCGGTGGAGACGCGCACACGGAATGCAGCTGAAGTAAGGAGGAAGCCCTCCTTCAGCTGCAGCCCTCCTTCTCCCAAGGGCGGCCTTCTGAGGGATCGCCTTTTGGAGGAGAGCCCAATTGTGTCAGTCCATCCCTTCGAGCCTCAGACACCAGACAACCAGGCAGCTGCAGCTGCATCGGCTGTAACAGGGAGAGGAAGGGCGATCAAAGCGACGGCCAATCGGCTGGCCGGCGGAAGCGTGCCAAAACAGAGGCACAAGCCCGTTGCCTCTCTTGCAAAGGTGCCGGAGCCGACAGCAGCGGGACAGCTGGACTCTCATAGGTCTCATGGCGAGGAGAGAGCCGTCCCCTCGCCAAAAGAAGAGGCAGTCGGTTTCCTTACTAAACAGATCCAAATGCTCAAACGGTGAGACATGTCCACTCCCCACAAGACATCCAGCCTGACCAACCCAGTGCCTCCCCTGGTGTCTCTGCAGACGATGTCGTGACGGCCTTGGCAGAGAGACTTTCGACCTCGGCATGGCTTATCTGAGGCAAGTGAGGAAGCGCGACGTGCCCAAGTCTCATCGGGGCGGCCCGACCGCGTCAGAAGACATCGTCAGGAGAGAGCTGATTACGCTATTCGGAGGGGAAAGAAGGATTGGTAAGACAGACTACTTCCTGCCATGCAACATTCGGATCGCTCATCTATGCAGGTTTCTGGGCCTTGATGGATCAGCTGTTACATCTAGAGGAGACGCTTGCGGCGGCAGCTGTGTGTCAAGAAGCGTGATGGGGACCTGTCAGTATATGGGTTGAGGCTGAATGCGTGTTGGGGTGAATGCGTTTGTGGCTGTGCTTGGAAGTCAAACGTGGGTCGATGGGGTCTACATACCATTATATATTGCTGTCACGGTCTTGCCCAACGAATGGTACCACACGGTCGTATTTGTGTTTGCTGAGAGATACCACCGGTCAATGACATGATACTTTGTAACATGTGTACGTGTCTCTGCCTCATGAGTGTGTTGTGTGTCTGTGTGTGTGTGTGTGTGTGTCTGTGTCACTCATTCATTGCCCACGCACCGTGATCTGTCGGAAGACGCATTAACACATAGCGCAACAGCCGGCAGAGTCACGATGATGTTGCTATGAAATGGACTGTGTCAATCGACCAACTCTCAATCACGCGACAAAGTATTATGTGTGTGTATGTGTATGTGTATGTGTGTGCGTCTTTGTCTCCATTTTCTCATCGTGGCCTTGAATCATCCTTCCTCTTCAGCCTGTTTGTCAACGTGGTACAAATTGCGAGACGGGAGACGGGGGGCTGGCCCCCGAGCCAGCTTCAAGCTCTCTGCGTTGCTCCTCTCGCGTATTGCACCACACCCGCTGCTTCAGAATGCATCTCGTTTTGTTGTTCTCTTTCGTTGTCGCCGGCCCTGCCACTGCGGCTGTCGTCACGGACGGTCTGGGGGTACTCAATGATTCTCACACACAGCCGGATGCCGAACTTCAAGCAATCGACAGGGCGAAGATTCTCAAGTACGTCGCCCCGATATGCAGCCAGCCATTCGTGCGGTGCCGGCAGGTGGCGATGGGCGTCCGCTGGCAGGAGGCCGACAAGGCCTTTGTCATATTCTGGTATGCCGACGGCGAACTCAAGGAGAAGCAGTTTTACGTCAAGAAGCACCCTGATGGCCTAAATTTTTTCACGGCGAAGGTGACAGCACACCGCTGACAAATACTCGGGCTGTCTCTTGCAATGGTCTGTCTCTGCCCGTGTGTGTCTCACTCGTCACGTTCAGGCGATGGCTGAGGAGTATTCGATCATTGTGCAGCGAAGCGGACAGGCTGACACAGGTGACGTCAGACCAGCGACTCCTTGATCTCGCTGAACTCCTTCGTGCTGTGCAGACAAGTTTGTCGACATGACATTGTTGGGGGAGCCCGAGAATGTTGACCGCCTGGAGGTCTTCCATGCATCCTCTCTTATTGCACTGACTGCGAACCTCCGAAAAGGTGACAGCGGAAGTGGCGCAGCTAGTCCGCGTTGGCCATTTTCCTCTTCTCGGGCGTCATGCAGGCAGCGAGTGGAAGCTTGTCGACTTAGATGACGTGACGGGAGCTCCTCTGCCCGACAACTCCCCTGTCCTCATCAAAGTCCCACTCCTCAACCCCACGTTTCCTGGTCGGTGTGAGGAATGAGCATGAATTGCAGCCCAATGGAGACATCTATTTTGTGCAGATTACAAGCGCGTCCCCAAAGAAGAAGAAGCACTCAAGGGCGTACTGGAACAGGAAAGCACAGGTGGCGTCATGTCCGTCATAAGGCCGGCTCTGCCACGCAATACAAATGACTTCTTGTTGTCGATCAGCCATGCAGAGATTCTGGAGGCGGTACCATTTGTCGAAAGAAATGACCGATCACGTTCACGGCGGCCTGTACGAGGAGTATGAGGCCCGAGCATTCCCCAGGATGCCCCACAGGATTACGGTGCAGCGAGCCCCCGATGGTCGCAGTATTCTGCCGGGTACGCGGGGGGCATTCCTCGCCGGTCTTGCCACTCATATATTGGTTCGCCGTCCTCACGCAGACTGTTTGATTCTTTCGTACGGCCAGGAGCTCAATGCCCTTCGCCGAGGCATCGGCTGGCTCGCCCAAGCGAGGAACCCCAACATGCGCGTCGACACACAAGTATGGCCACAGCAGACAAGAGACATGTCTGACTTCGATCTTTTGCTGCTGCTTGGGACCAGTCCCAAGCGACGAAGAAGGTGAAAGCGACCTCGTTGGGCTGGTACACCATAACCCTCCTAACAAGAGCTGCGGGAGCTGTGCTGAGACACGGATTCCATCATTGCGCGCTGGGTGAGTGACGCGACAGACGTCCACAGCAGAGGGCATAAGTTCATATCGACTGTTGCAATGCTGATGTATGACAGATGCCGGCTCGAAGATGAGACTGCTGGACCTTGGAAATGTTGAGACACACGAGGAATTAAAGAAGAGGACGGTACGGAAGAGACAAGAAGACACGGAGACCAGGGCGTGCAGACGGCCGTGCTGTCTCTGTTTGGCCGCAGCTGAGTTTGGAGGAAGGGAGTCTCGCACTGACTGATCTTCATGGTTGGTTCCACGAGGAAGACGACACGGCTTTCGCCTCGCACTCGGCCCTCCCATGCCACCGCAAGGCGCCTGATGAGCAGGCACTGAGATACGTGGTATTGCCTTGTCGTTATACACGGTCAATCGCAGCTGTCTCCCGAGTGTGGCTCTGTGGCTCTCGTCACTCAGGACGACGCGCTTGAAGTCCAGCGCCTGATTGGGTGCATGGCGAGCTACGGGTTCACCATGTCTGTACCCGTAGAATACTGGGACCCTTACAAACAGAAGACGCGGGTCAAAGAGAGGCAAGTGAGCAAGCTGATATGCCCTGAGCGACCCAGAGACGCGACTGCGCTAGAAGGCTCCATCCAAATCAACCTAGACCTGGCGAAGACATGCCTGTATGACCACCACCTGACTGACGAGTCATACGAGGACGTGGAGCAGATCATCGAGCGCTACGTCTACCAGCATCGAGCCCACCCCAAGGAGGCCCATTGTGATCGAAGCTCCTCGGTATGTGCACAGGACTCTGCATCATTCACGGTGCTTCTCATGAGTTTCCCGTACGTGTGTATGTCTCGTCTCGTGCAGGCGGCATTCATCTCCAAGATGCTCTTCATTGCGGAACGACATTGAGGGATTGACACTGCCCATTGTGTTGCATGTGGGTGGCCGGCTAATTCGCGTCTTAAAGCCATCGCCTGAGACACATACTGACAACAGAGACACAAGCGACTTATCCAGCTGAAACATATGGGCGATTCACCAGCCTGGTGACATTTGCATGGCATCCTGGTGACATTTGCAAAGTCACACAAGACCAGTCAGTGAATGGTTCTCATTTTCAGCGCAATGTGCGCTGACCAAGCTCGAGATGTGTGATCCATCATGGTGCATCTCGGCCACACAACATGTGTGTACGCGCGTCGTGTGCGTGGGGGTCGACTAAGCTGTATGTCGTGGGCGGCGGTGCGGTGTGCTTCACGTTTGGGTTGCATTTCGACGGCCCTCTGTCAGCTTGGACGGGTCGAGGGAAGACAGAGAAAAGGCCGAGAGGCTGGAGCGAGAGAAGGACAAGTGAGGGTGTGCGCGTGTGTGAACCGCTTCAAATATAATGGATGGAGCAACTTCCTGAGAATGGGGCGATAGCGAATGGGTGGCCGTTGGGTCCATATGGCTGAGCAGATTCACTCTATGTGTCAATGGATTGTGTGTCAAAATTGAGACATGAGGTCCATCCGTCCGTCCGTGCAATGCATGCACACGAATTCGTCCGTTGTGTGTGTAACAAGGCTGCGTCTTCCGCTGCAGCTGCCACACTGGCCCCTCTCCGCTCACTCATCAGCCCGACTTCACCTGAAAACCACATACAACATCCATTCATCCATCCGTATACTGATTCACTCGCTCGTCCGTCTTGGTCTTGCCCGGTGCCACCCACCCACCTGATAGATAGCGATCTCCTTCGCGGTGAAATACCATGTGCCTGCTAGTGTTCCGTTGCCACTGAGCCGGCCAAGGTAGCCGGCCGGTAGGTCGTCCTTCTCGACCCACTGATACATGCTGCGCACGTCGTCTGCCGGGCCGGGGCTGCCGAGAGCGACCCATAGATACCCCAAAGCAATGGTCATCTGCACGCAGACATGTGACAATCAGTCAGTTGGTTGAGTGCCATTCATTGCACTGACACTTATTGTGTATACCGCCACCAACCTTGCCACGTGAGGCCGTACTGAATCGGATGGATGCGTCGTGGCCGGCGACCCCCACCCACTGCCTGGCCTCGGGGATCGGTACCTTGGTGACCTGGCCATATGCACCGGAGATGGAGATGAAGAAGAGGGGCACCTTGTATTTGCCGTCGGCGGGCGACTTCAGTTGGCCCCCGACGAAGGATCCAAATCGGTGTGTGTCGTTGTGGTTGACGAGGAAAAGCAGACCACTGGCGTCGCCCACCTTGTCCATCATCGTGCCGAAGTCACCACCGTCACGCGTCGAACTGACAGGAAGGGAAAAGCGAGACGTCATATCCTGGAGGGTCGCAACAGGTCAGCTGCTCTGCTCACCTGTAGAGGAGTGTGGGTGTTGGGTTGGGTATGTCTATCATGGCCAGCACTGCCTGCGTCTCGTCTTCACTCAGCATGGGGGCTGCATCTTGAATCCGAACATCTCCATGTCAACCTAAAGCACATCACACCATGTGCACACACAAGTGTGTTTGCAGCTGCTTCATGATACCTTGAGCTGCTTCATGTCACGGGCGATCGGCGCCTTGGCCGTGTGGCCCCGCCGTTTCTCTAGTCGCTGTCTTCGGGCAAAATCCACCACCTGGATGGTCGCCAAATGACACGCAGACAAACACGTGCCGTCCCCCCGTTTCCGTGTGTGGCTCAGTGTCACCTTCATGAAGTTCTCGGAGGATGTCTGCCGGATGGGCACGCCGCCATGCACAATCTCACCACTGCACAACACACGCACGGGACAGACCACACGTGCGGATGTCACTGTCTATGCGGTGGGTGAATTCTGACCTGAATCGTTTGTATAGGGTGCTGTCGGGGCCGAGCTGCGATAGTGTCGCCTCGGTGGTCGACACCTTCTTGCCCAGGACGGTCACGGTCTTCACCTCGTGGGCACTGCCGTCCTCTGCTCGGATGAAGGGCTCCATCGCCTTGCCGAAGTCCTTCAGGTGCCCTGCTGCCCCCTCCAGCTCCGCCACCGCCGCGTCATAGCCCTCCACATACTCACGGATCTTATCCATCACGCCAGCCTGCCCTTCTCCCTCCTTATTCCCCTCCTTATCTCCGTCGTCCATGTCGATGTCCTCCGATGGTGCGTCGATGTCGAGCGGTGTGTGGGTGAGGAACAGCTTGTGGTAGAAGGCGAAGGACGGGTCCTTCTTTTGTGTGTCGTCGAGCTTGATCTGATGCTCCTGGCCCTGCGCCTCCTTGCCCTCGGCAATGGCGATCTCGTCACACAACCTAACACGGAAAATGAGAAACAGAGCAGAGGGCACAAATCAATGGCCGACGCAAAGATACCCATCCTCCCTCCCTGCCTCCCTCCGCTCACCAGTCGGCATAGTTTGGGTCGGCGTCGAGGAATGGCCGGCCCTTCTGGTCGCGGGGCAGTGCGTCCGCACCATACAGCAGCAGATGGGCGAAGTAGGTGTGGCGGAGCTGCTCCAGCATCAGCCCCTTGCGCGACACACCCACCACCCGCCCGCCCACACTCAGCTTCACCTCCCCCTCGATGCCGCCCGTCAGCTCCAGCTTGCCTCCCGTGCTCTCAATCAGCTCTTTGATGGCCTCGGCTTTGGTCTGCAGCTGCTGACGGGCGGTCCTGGCGGCGTTCTCGATGGCGAGCAGGGCCGCAATGGCTTTGTGCACCGACTGGTCCATGATTCGGCGGCCGATACGGGGGAAGGGGGGCTGCTGGTCATATTCATCTTGCTGCCCGGCAGTACTTTCCCCGGCAGCCGCCGCGGCAGCGTCGCCCTCTGCCTTGCGCTTCTTGCTGAGCATTTTGCGATGGATGAATGGGTGAATCAACGGTACAAGCTAATCGCCGCGCGCGAAAAGCCTCCCGCACTCTCAAAATGCGAGCTTAGAAGCTGTGGTCGCTTGCAACGATGCCTTTGGCGGTAGATCTCTGCTGAACAGCCCTGCTGATCGTTCTTCACCCACTGAGATCAGTCACTACGACCGTTCGACGACCACAGGGCGTCATCCGGCTTGAGGGACGACGCAACACGTTTAATGACACCTTCCACAACGCAGCAGCAACAAGAGTGACGATGACGGCCCAAGCCACCCATCTCGGTCAACCGCCTTCATCCATTGATGCCGCTGCTTCACCTTCACCCCGGGCTGAGGCTGCCTGCGTCGTTCCAGCCATGCAGAATCCCTCGGCGGCCCATCAGCCATCTGCAGCAGCCTTAGTAGCGGCGATGGACATCGACCAGGAGGGCCACTCTCCCGGTGGCAGGCGGCGGGACAGTGCGGCAGGTCGGGTGGAGGGTGACCGTGGGGCTTGTGATGGAGGCCCTGCAGCTGAAGGCCCATCGGCTGCCGCTTCGACGCCCACCATCCCCCATCCACAGACAATGTCAGCGGCCGCCACTTACCCCTATCCCTCCCCACCTCATCCGAACGGCCCTCCCTCCCAGCAAGACGGTCTTCAGGAGCAACTGCGGCAGCCGCTTTACAAGCGAGGCGACCCCAACAGGACATCGGCATACCATCCGGGCTATCAAGGAGTGCAGTTCTCTGTGCGCAGCGTCGATGGCGCAAACAGCGCGTATGAGGTGCTCGCAGGGCCCTTCCACGACAGCCAGGGGGAGCTGTTCGCCGCTGATTGGGGCGTGACTCGCGACCCGAAGAAGGGCTGGCTGCTGGGCGACGTGACGCAGGTGCTGGAGCGGGTCAAGAAGGGGGGCCCGATAGCGGTGGACGAGCCCTTCGAGGTGAGGACGAGCCACCAGGAGGCCCGGCGGTACTTGATGATGAAGCCGACCATGGATGCACCCAAGGGCAATGCCGCAGGTGAGAGAGAGGGAGGGGGAGAAGAACACTGGACAGCGTGTCGGCTCCCGTATATGTCGTCTCTGTTGCGTGCATTGACTTAGGGCCAACGTCACCCGCATCCCCACCCCCACCTCCCGTAGCCTCACGTCACGCGGACAGCGGTCGGACAGCCAACCACATGGAGCTGCAAGGCGCCACCGGCCGGTCAGCACGTGACACGGTCCCCTCGCCTATTGCCAGGAGGAAGGCGGTCGACACGCCACCGCCCTCGCCCCCACCAGCCGACGGTTCCCCGGCCGCAGCGGTGGGTGGTCCGGGTGACGAGAGGAACACCGTTGGGCAGCTCCTGAGGACGATACGGCACAAGCAGGACCCCGGCCACAAGGCATACTCGGCGGCCTACGAGGGCATGCAGTTCAGTGTCGAGAAGATGGCGGACGGGCGGCATTTCGAGGTCACTGGATGGCCTTCTGAGAGCGGCGCCAACCAGCCCCTGTGTGTGCGAGCGACGGTGCATCGCAGCTCTGACGGGACGAAAACTGGATGGGAGCTGTGGCCACTGACGGACATGCTGACGGTGGTGCTGGCGGGATCGGTGGACACCGACGATCGGTTTGAGATCGTCACTGATGTGGTGGCTGGCGAGCAGAGGCACGTGGTGCAGTGGAGGGCTCCGCAGCGTGGGAAGAGAGCAGGAGCGCCGCCTCGCAAGCACAAGAACAAGCCTAGCGCATGTCATGACACAGGTGGGTGAGGTGGATCACACAGGTAGGACCAAAGGCACGATTATCTCTTATTTTGCCTGCTGTTGTGTCCCCTTTCAGGCCTTGGCGATCGTCGCAAGCGACGCCCGTCACGCGACCCGCTCCCTCTCCCCTCCCTCGACGGCAGTGGCGATGGACGTGATGGCTCCCTCAACCACAGCCGCCCTCCCAAGCGCCAGCGCGGTCCACACGGCCGCGTCCCCGCCAAGCGGGCCCAGGAGTTCCATGGCTCGCATCGGGAGCTGACGAGTCTTGGTGGGCTGTGTGGTGACGAGCTGGCTCGGATGTTGATGCGGCGGATGCGGGAGGAGCAGCCGGGCGACTTCCCTGCGCCAGACAGAGGCGGGTGAGTATGGCCAAGGGCATGATTGACGCTCTCATGTTGACAGTGGCATCTGTGTGTGTGTGTGTCAGGATCGGCATTGCGTGGCGGACCAACTACACCTACGAGGCCTACTTTTGGGACAACGACACATCGACGACCGTCGATTTGCGTCAGTTCCCTGTCTGCTATGGCGCCTCCCCTGAGGCCATCTTCACGGCCTTCCGTGAGGCCGTTGACTATCGCAATGCACTGCATCAGTCGCGTGTGGGCGATCGGGCGATGGCCATCGATCTGTCGTGGCTGCAGCGAGCACAGCAGGGAGAGGGGCAGCTGGACGGCGGGATGCGTGAGGGGCAATTCGGCTGGAGCCCACCCCCGCAGCGTCGCAAGCGCACCAAGAGGCCCAGTGACGACCCGCCCCTCGACCCCTCTCCCCCCTCCCGCCCTCCCCGGTCCAGTCTTTCTCGCCTCCCGGCCCGCCCCCCTGGGCGTCGAGAAGGCGACGTAACGATCGGCCGCGGTGGTCGGCAGAGGGACAGCATGGCTCGGGCGGCGCGTCGGTCTGACAGCTGTGACGACGATGACGACGGCAGCAGCTCATCGTCTCCCCAGCCACGACGGAGGCCCAAGGCAGCCAAGAGGGATGGTGCGTCGGCGCCTGCCGGTGATGTGCCGTCGTCCGTCTATGCGTCCAATCCCGAGTGGGCCGCCGACATAGACAAGAAGACCAGCACCAAGAGCAAGACCATCATCACCAAATCAGGTGAGGAACCCAAGAAGCTAATTCAACGCAATCACTCACCTTCGTGTGTCCAGCCAACTGCAGAGCATCAGTCGGATGTGGCGGGTGTTTTTTGGCATGAGGGGAAGCAGGCCTGGAGGGCATCGTGGTACGAGAAGGGGAAGGAGAACGAGAAGTACTTCTACGTCAGTGACCATGGTTTCGACAGAGCCAAGGTGCGCATAACGTTGCCCATTCCCTCTGTCTATCTCTCTGAGTGTCTCACATGCGTGCCTCCGTCCGTCAGGCGTTGGCCGAGGAGCATCGTCGTGAGATGGAGCGCACCGGTCGGGCGGTGGTCAAGAAGCGATCGGAGCACCAGAGCGGCGTCAAGGGTGTTCACTACAACAAGGCCAGCAACTCATGGATCGCCAGCTGGTACGAGGGCGGCAAGCAGAGGACCAAGCCGTTCTCTGTGCGCGAGCTGGGCTATGAGGGCGCCAAGCAGGCGGCCATAGCCCACCGCCGTGCGATGGAGGGAAGGCACTACACATTCAAAGACAAGGCAGTCAAGGAAGACTGATCAGTGAGACAGGCACACGTAGCGTGAGGGGAAGGGGTGGTCTTCAGTGGGCTGTGTCGCGTTAGTCGTGCTGCTCCATGTCGTCATCGGATTTTGACGTGAATGACCATGTGGATGTAAGCTGGCCAGTGAGTGTATGGCATATCAAATGTTTCTCTCTGCCCATCTGGCTCTCATGCAACACTGGCCCCCATGGCACCCTGAACATAGGCAGCCAGGATGAGGCCGTCTCTGGGGTGCACCAACGTGACGGCACGACACAGCAGGAACGCTTAAATGGATTGCTATATATATATGGATGCCGAGTGTCACCGTCAGATAGAGGTCTATGCACACGATGATAAAGCCATCAAGTCTACACACATACGGATAAATCTAAACGTGGCTGATGCACTTGAGCTACTGCATGGCATACTTGTCGGCCGCCAGCCCGCTGAGGTCACCCAGCCTGCGCCTCTTGAGCACCACATCCATCCGGCCGTCCGTCCAGTTTGTGTGGCCTCGATAATCGCCCCTGGCCCCGCAGTGGCACATGCGGTATCTCCTGCGGATGTCGCCGGTGAATGCCTTGAGGAAGGGATACTTGGCCTCGTCAGGCTCGATGTCAGCTCCACCATCGCTCCAGGAGAGCACCGGCTTGGCATCTGCGGACCACATAGATGGACGCAATCTCTACAAGTATGCCTTTATGGGTCGATTCTCACTCACGTAGCGACGTGTTGACGGTGAGCACGACGGTGTTGGGCTGTAGCATGAGGATGAGGCCGTAGTACACACGAAAGTGGTCGGGCGTGTAGGAAGGGAAGCCACGGGTGAGAGGCTCGAAAAAGTGAAAGTACAAGGACACACTTGGTCAAGAAGGCAGAGGAAAATGTTAATTATGAGTGCAGCCAGCGCACCTCTGTCTTGACGTCCATGCTGAGTTGGTCGACCGAGAGGCGCTCTTGCATGGCACTCCACAAGGCGCCGCCCTTCTCAGGCACCACCAGGGGGCTGTCCTGCACTTCTGTCCGCACCTCCAGCTCGTCCAGACACACACGCTTGTCGCCCCCCTCCCCTGGCTGAGCCACCGTGCCCTCAGACAGACACACAAACGCGTCAAAGGCCGCCCACCTGAATGAATGCGCCACATACACCCACACAAGTCTCACGGTGACTCAAGGTGTGCGCCCACCCACTCACTCACCAGGGCACGTCGATGAGTCGGACGGTGTGGAGTGTGGGTGCATGGTCTTGAGCAGCCGCTGCAGGGGGTCCGACAGCACGTAGTGGTTCGTGGGAGGTGGAGGGCGCACCGGCGTGGGAACACCCGTAGCTGCGTATGCCGCCTGCTCTGCCGCCTGCTGCTGCGTCATGGGGAGCTGAGGAGGGAGGGGCTTCTCGTAGATGCCCTCAGCCGTGAACCGGTGGCTGTGGAAAGAGACGTGGTCCTTGACGCTCTGCAGCTCGACCCTCTCGAGGGTGAGCACCTCGACCCTCGTCCAGCCCCCAGCCGTCCAACCGGCAATCTAGATACAAGACGGGACGGATAGCAAGGGAGAGGGAGAGGAATGCACGATGGATGGATGGATGGATGGATGGAAGCATGCGTGTCTATCCCCCTGCCCTTACTCACCGCTTCATGACCGACGTAGCCACGGAGTGTGTCGAGGCACTCGATGATGAGATGCTTGGTCTTGTCGAACACGATCAGTCGGCCACTCGAGTCGGTGAGCTCCCAGGAGTCGTCCCAGGGCTGCGACCCTTCACCGTAGCTCATCACGACGGTCTCGGTCTGGCAGATGGCGCGCTTGACGGTGTCGCGGATGCAGCCCTCCACCTCTGGGGGGCACGTGTCAGCAGATGCTGGGACCCCCTTGAGCTCGACAACCCGCCCTTTCGGCAGCGCGCAGTAACCTGACATCAAGGCAGCAACAACAACACAGCCATATCATGGTCCACCCCTCCATCCGTAGTGTGTGTCTGTGTGTACCGCGATTTTGCAGTTCGACCAGCAGCTGCAAGAATGTCCGTCCGGCCGGGTTATATGAGGCCGGCAGGGTCGACTCAAAGGCCAGGTTCCGGTCGAAGATGCCGATGCGCTTGCTTGTGGCCGGCGGCTGGACGCTCGGCAGGCCCGCCACGACCCCCTCCATCTCCTGATCGTGTGTGATGAAGACCATGTCGCCCATCGCCTCCAGGCTGTCTGCACGTGCCTCGAGTGCCGCCCTGAAGACCCGTGTGGCCAGAGGGAATGCGCCAATGTGGCGGATGAGGGGCGAGTGGGCCACCAGATGGATCAGCGCGTCTTCGAAACCGCCCACCCACCCACCTCTGGCCAGGTCCAGCAGTGGCTGCCACTGCCAGCGCACCCTGGCCGTGAGTGTCTTGAGGTTGGGTGTCTTCCAGTCGAAATGCAGAAATGTCTGCACCACAGGCACGAGCCCCACGTCGATGTCGGTGAGTGCCGGAAACGTCCGCGGCGCGCCCCGCAGGCCCGCCCTCCCAGCGTCCCAGTAATTGGACCTCTCGTCAAATGCCGACTGGACCGACTTGATGGTCTTGATCTTGTCGCCGTGCTGCCTCATTGCGTCGATGAAGAACTGCAGCACATCCGCCGCAAGGCTGGTCTTGCCCTTGGCGACTGCGAGGATGATCTTCTCGGCCCATGGGAGCACAGAAGGACGCGCCGAAGCCGAGGGACGGCCGGGCCGATGACGAGGGTGGACGAGCAGATGGCCTCGAAGCAGCTCTCGTCCAGGACAGACAGACGCATGGTCTCCTCGTCGGTGAGAGTGCCTGAGAGGTTGAGCACCCAGAGATCTGACGGAAGGCGGGCGAGGCCGTGCATGCCGCAAGTTGGCGACGCCATAACACGGAGATGGCGCTTGTCCGATGGATCTTTCGGCTCGCAATCGCTGCGAGCTAAGCCTGGTGTTTGAGCAGTTCTTCCTGCGAATTTCTGCAGATCTGTGCTTCTGTGGTGACAATGACGATGCCAGCGTCGCTTTCAGACTGCCCATCTGTCGCGCGACTCATCAGCGACTGCGACGCATCACTCGACGCGCTTCGTGAGCAAGAGACCAGGGCCAGAGATGGCGCCAAGCAGCTGGCAGAGGACATCATGGCTTCAGTGGCAGCCAAGGGCGGCGTGTGGCAGCCTCCCGAGACCACAGGCGAGGTGCTCGTCAACGCAGGTAGGTCAACACACGCAAGACGACCTCAGTCGTGCGTTGATGTGTGCACCGATGTGTCCTGTTGTCGTGTGTGCAATGCAGGCGGGGTGGTCTTTCCGGTGAGCCGCCGAGGCCTGCTGATGCCTCTCATGCGCAAGCGGTACATCTCGGTACTGCTCATGCATTTCGCTGACGGCCTGCCCAGAGACTCCAGCGGCCACGTCTATCTGGAGGTGTCCAGTGCCTACTTCGACGCCTTCCTGGACGCGCTGACCCTCTACGAGACCGGCCGTGCGAACACGGTGACCCTCCACACATCCAAGGCAGCCGACCCCGCATGCGCCGAGTACGACTCCCTCTTCATGCGCGAGGTCGGGGTCTTCTCCCCATCAGAATACCAGCAGCAGAAAAGGCCCGATGCCGTAATGGCCAACACTGGAGACGACCAGCCATGGGATTCAGCTGCGGCTCTGGACGAGGCCACCCAGCAGTACATCGACGCTGCTGAGCGGTGGATGCGTGCCCTTTCAAAGCCTCTCAAGACACTGTGGCGGCTCAAAGAGGACATCAAGGCATTCCTGGCGGCCATGGAGCACTTCATGAAGACACCAGACGATGGCGACAATGCCCTGCTGAGTGTGACCATCCTCGGCCGGCAGGTGGTGATCATGAAGAGCACGCTGTGTCGACTGGGCGCCAACCATCCGCTGCTCACGCGATTCTCCGAGTAAGGAGGGGCCACAGAAGCGATTACGAGCTATGGATTCCTCTGTGCATTTGTGTCGGCAGCACCCCGCCGAACTGGCCGGACCGACACATCCGACAGACCCCCGCCAAGCATTTCATTACCACAGTGGAGTTTGCCAGGCGCATCGCCACCATGCCCAAGGGACAACTCATCCACCCCCCACTGCTCGACGACAGCGAGCGACGGCTGTGCATCGAGGACATGGAGATGTATGGCATCGCCTACGCACCGATCTGCCATCTGCCACCTGGCGGCGATTTCATCGTCAAGTCGGGAGAAGAGTGGGGCAGTGTGCTGGACCTCACAGAAAAGCAACAAAGCAGCGTGTCGCTCTTGTACAAGTGAGCAGGGCACTCACGAACGCTCCATGGCGTCGAATGGAAGCGGCTTCTCGCTGGTTTGTCAGGTCTAGCCGAGACGGTGGCGACTGGGACACGCTGCTCGACAAGGTGGGCGACGCCAGCGGTCTGATGTTCCTCATCAACCACAACGACACACACCGATTCGGCGCCTTCGTCGACGGCCAACTCAAGCCGCCCGCCGACACAGACCAGACCAGCGGCAACTACAAGGTGCAGCAGTTCCTCATTTCCATCAGCGGTGCATACCCCAAGATCACCAAGATACCCATCCCCGAGGCTCAACAGGTGGTCGAGGTCGCCGGCCGCCACGCCTCCCTCAATGCCAACAATATGGACTACCGCGGCAAGGTCGGTGGAGGTATACGCACTTGGTGTCAGTGCAGTGAATGGCACTGAACCAACTGACTGATTGTCACATGTCTGCGTGCAGATGAGCATTGGCCGTGGGTATCTGTGGTTGGCCTGGGCCAGCCCGGGCCCGGCAGATGACGTGCGCAGCATGCATCAGTGGGTGGCGAGGGACGACCTGCCCGACGGCTACCTCGGCCAATTCAACTCCAATGGCAACGGCACACTGGCGGCGGACTGGCATTTGACGGCCAAGGAAATCGAGGTATGGCATGTTCATGGCGGCGGTGCCACGAGCGCGTGAGTACCTTTTTTGACCCGGCTGTACCATACCGTTTTGTCGCAAGATGGACCATTGGCAAGTCGTTTTTTGCAAAAGCCGACTTCATGTTTGTTTGTGCTCTCTGTGTCTCTGACGATGCAGCCGACGTGGTGGCCTGAATACCTTTACACGTATTGGCCCGTTTTTCACTCGGCTGTACCATATCGTTTTGTCGGAAGATGGACCAACTCGTTTTTGGTAAAAGCTAACTTCGTGTTTGTGCACTGTGTGTCACTGACGATGCAACTGACGTGGTGGCCTACGTGAAGTGTTTGTGCGGTACGACGATACGTCGGACGTGTTGTGAGATCAATGAATGTTTTGTGAGATCAATGAATGCTTGAGCTCAACTTCAGCAAACACCCTGTGTCTGTCTGACCTGTCGTCTTCTCTTACCACACACAGAGCCTAACTAACGCGCCGTGCCCGTGTGTGTGTGAAGCACTCACATGAATGCAACCAGGCAGCCGTCACGTGTGCAGCCGAGCCGAGCCGGGCCAACATGTTAAAACCACTTGATGCCCGCATGATGATTATACCCCCACACACCCCTACACACCCCTCCATCCAGTCGAGAGACAGAAAGCGCCGGCCAAGGTGCCGCAGTCATCGAGCCACCCGGCCCACTGTACAGGCACAAAAGTGTGGAGGAGCTGAGCTGCCTGTCTATGGACAAGAGAGAGGCGACAAGGGCAGCCAGCACAACACAAAAGGGCAGCAGAAGGAAGCCGACGAGAGAGAGAGAGAGAGAGCGAAGAAGACAATAACGCGGGAAAGAGGTAGAAGGCGAAGAGACGACTGGCGAGAAGAGGGTACCCACACGAGCAGATGTGCCTGCCCGCCTGCCGGTCGGCAGGGGGCGCCATCTGCGGTGTCTAAATGGTTACATATGTACACACACACATACACGTGAGCAATGGATGTGCCCGCCCTGTCTGTCTGTCTGTACATAACCAAACAGCGAATGGTCCCGTCCCCATTGCTGTGTGGGTGTGTGGATGGGTGGTGTCCCGGACCCTTTCCTACCCAATCAGACGAACCAAGAGGAACCAAGGAGAAAACGGATAGAGTGTGACCCACCCTCCCACCCACACCAATCATTCCTCCGGATGCCGTGTGCATGTGCGTAAGTGCGGCTCTGTCCAATGGCTCACCCACTCCATCCATCCAGCCATGCATCCAGCCATCTGGAGACACACACGTACGGCCAGGCAGGCAGGCAGGCAGGCAGGAAGCGAGCTAAGGCACACAGGGCACCGACCTCATACAGCATGAACTAATCATACCCTCCCCCC